GTTGGTCTACCTTCTAAAGCTGCTTGGCGCATTTCTTCATCCTCTACTTCTGCCATGTTTTTAAATGCAAGAGCAAATGGGTTTTCTTGATTAATTAATGTTTGCAAGAGTTGCATTAACTCATGTATACAACCATCATTACCAGGTTGTTCCATTCTGAATGACACTGCTGCATTAGGATCATAGATATACAGCTGACAATATTTGGGCAGACCACCTTCTGCAGGCCTTAAATTTCCAACACGATGCAAAATTTGCCCACATACCCTAAAACAGAAAGGGCCATTATTTGAGGGAGGAGCTATTTTGGCAGTGAAGGAAGCAAAAGATAAAGAGGAATTATAACTCCTTATGTGTTTAAAAAAATTTTGATTTACAGCATGATCAACATGGTTTCCTGTCATTAAATCAGTCAACAATGGTGGATAAAGAGAAAGAGGAGCTAATACAACTTTTCCTGAATGGCAGCACAAAAAATGAGATTCATTTAAAAACTTCTTTGCACTGCAATACTGACAATTATGGTTTAATTCTCCGAGGTAGTTACTCTCTATAGCAATATTATTTCTTGCTATGCGATACATATTATACCTATTAAGTTCTCGCCTAGCCTGATTTCTTTCATTTTGATTACAATTTATTTCAGCTCGCCGGGGCTCATCTCTTTCAATTCGACGACGGTTTAACTCAGCTCGCCGGGGCTCATCTCTTTCAATTCGACGACGATTTATCTCAGCTCGCCGGGGCTCGTCTCTTTCATTTCGACGGTGGTTTATCTCAGCTCGCCTAGCCTGCCTTCTTTCATTTTGACGAAGTCTAATAATTTCATTTCTTAAATTATTAGACATAATTAGGCATCAAAGGAGTGTGTAAAAATAATGCCTAATATAATAAAAGTTGAAGTTTCTTTTTTAAACTTATCTAAAATAAAGTGTAAGCAAATAATACAGAGCATAATACTATAATCTATTATATTCTAACATATATAGCATTGTGTTAAGATAACATAGTTTTATTAAAAACTTAAACTAAAGTTATAAATTAATATAATATTTTCAACTAAGTATTGTTTATATATTTATGGTAGTTGTTATTAATTATTGACAAAATATTATAAGTATTTAATCAAAAAAAAACAACAACAAAAAAAACAAATGTAATTTAAAAAACAAATTTTTTACATATAAGAACTCATAAATAAAGCAAATTAAAAAAATTTAAGGCCTGTCAACTCAGCAAGTACTGCTAGCATGGAAGGATAAAATGTAATCATCCATCATAAAAACCCTTTCATTACTTTGAAAGGCATTTAACGCAAGATTTGCAATAAATAAATACAAAACTACTAAAAGAACCTCTATAAACAATCATATATTTGCTTCAAGTGAAGAAACTTGGAAATATTGAAACTTCTTTTACTATTTTAATTTTTTTTTAGATATTTAATATTCTAAAGAAAAAGGGACAATAATTTAAGGCAAAATAATTAAAATTTCTATACATATAATATATGTATAGACATTTTAATTCTATATATTTTATTGTGTGTGTGTGTCTATATATATATATATATATATATATATATATATATATATATATATATATATATATATATATATATATATATATATATATATATATATATATATATATATATATATATATATATATATATATATATATATATATATATATATATATATATATATATATATATATATATATATATATATATATATATATATATATATATATATATATATTGATGTACATAAAAACATTAAAACAATAATATAAAGAAAACATTCTCTATACAAAAAATCCTAAAAATTTAACAAAAGTTATTAAAACTTATGCTTCAACACACTGTATACTTACTTTTATATATATAAAAAAAAATTTGAGTTAAACATATTTAATGAAGAAAATCGAAACTCTTAAAAATTTTAATGAGGAGGAGTTGTTAGTAAAGCCTGCTTTTTAACAAAATTTATTTATTGTCAAAAGCATACATTGTTAAGAACAGAGGATAACAACATTAAAACACATTTTTTCAACACATTTTAGAAATACACTAATTACAAACAGATTTAATTTATGTGTTTTATTATGACAATACACCACTCTGCTGGCAAGGACAACATTTTTGCTCTCAACAAAGCCAGGTCACATTATAGCAAAGTACACCACTTGGCTAGCAAGGTCAACAATCTTGCTGTAAACTAAGCCCAGTCACAACAATTTGAAACCATGCAAACAACATAATTATCACTTACAAACTATAAACATATTACATATAACAAATCACAAACATAGAAACATTTCATATATTTACACACTTACAAAATATAAACCCATATAACCTTAACACATATAAACACAATAAAACACAATATAAATAACACACAAATATAGATAAATATATAAATTAAGAAAAATATATAAATTTGAAACTTTACAAATACAACCTTATTTTTGTTTTTTGACATACCTCGTAATAAATGTTTAACAACTTGCAAAAACAAACTATCAAACGATCTGGTTTTTTATACGGATTTTTTTTTAATTTTTTAAAATAAGGTATTAAACGACCTTGTTCTTTAACACTGAGTTGACCGTGTGAGATGCAAGGGTTTTAAACACTAACTTTATCAAGAGTTTGCCCTCTTGACCTTTGAAAAGAGCAACGTTTTCTTGAGTCATCGTCTTTCAATTTACAAATTACAGATTAATTTTATAAATAAATCTGTAATTTGTAAATTGAAAGATTTACAATTCTTTTGTCAATTGTATTTAAAATAAATTTAAATACAATTGACAAAAGAACAAAAGACTTATTTTAATGCATGATTTAAATAAATCACCTGACTTTAAAAGTTACTTTACTAATTCAAAAATAACATAAGGTTCATCCTTTACTACAGAAGTTATCAAATAAAAATTGTTGATCTTATCACTAATTAAGCTGATGAAGCAAAGTTTTTGATCTCATTACTGATTAAGCAGATATTGACAGATTATTAAGACTCGAAAGTACTTCATTGCACAAGTTCAGAAGTAAAGCATGCTAAATCCAATTTATAATAAAACTGAAAGGCCAAGTATGGTCAAAAAGTCCGTGTAAATGCGCACGAATGGTGAGCAGCGACGTTAAGTTCAGCAATAATATATAGTGATTTTAAACTCAATGAATTTAAACAGCCCTTCTTGTAAGAAATATGGGGTCGCACACCTCATATGGTGTGGGATTAGTAAATTTTGATAATTTATATGTTTTTATAAATGCCCTGAGAAAACTATGCTAAACTGATTAGAAAATTATAAAAATAAACGATAAACTGAAAAGCATAATCTTTACAAATAATAAAACAAATAAAAGACCAGAAAAAATTAAGGCATTAAGTCTACATCAGTTTTGTTTTTATTGTGGCAATAAAAAAAATAATACTGACCTCCATTGAGATAAAAAAATTTGTTTCAGTTTTTTTTCACCTTTTCACCTTAAAAAAAGAAAAAAGAAAAGCATAAAGTCAACATCGTTTTTTTAATTTAAAAGTGTTTCACTTCATAGAATTTAGAAAAGATTGAAGTTTTAGAATTATTTAATCCAAGTCTAATTGAAACTTAATTATTTTAGAAATTTGAAAATTTTGGTTTTTTCTTATTTCTACTAAAGCAAATAAAACTTATAAACAAAAAAAGATCAAGTAAAAGGATTTGAACCTGCATCTAATACAGAACTATTAGTCGCTCTTTAAATTTATAACATTAAATCATCCTAAGTGCTACACTGCTGTTGTGATTTTCCAAAAATTTGGGGCAATTAATTCTTTAAAATTAAAAAATTATTAGGTTTAAACATTCGATAGAGACGCTCCTAATTTAAAAAAATATATTAGTTTTATAATTTATTTACATGTTTATCTTTTATCTTTTTTATTATTTGTTAAGATTTTGCTTCTCTTTTGGGTCATTCCATATCAACTCAACCAGTGATGTTCACCACACCATCTCAGATCTTCCTGAAATTTTTAGGGCTTGTAGTACATACAAAGTTAAGCAATTGCTGAAAATTTTAGGCCATTTCGTCAAAAACTTTCTGTGATTTTTTAAAGTTTGAAGGGTTGTCGCGAGTTCACATGACTTTTACATTTTCGCGATATTTAAACGTGAATATTTCAAAAACTAAAACAGATATCAGGCTGAAATTTAAAGCTTACTCATTTTTTCATGCTGGGTTTAATGGTGTTTTGTATCAAATGTAGCTTGCATACAAAATCCCCTAAAAATGTCCAAACATTGCACTTTAGGCAGTTTTCACCAATATTTGACCCGATATAGCGAAAAACCTATAAAACATGGAATGATGTTTGTTATACCATTAAAAAGTACCATATATGTGTTTATTATTTTCATAGAAAATTCATGTTAATCAATGATAGTGTACCCATTGTAGGCACCGTTATGCATCACGGTCATCAGTTTGTTTGCGCATTGCGACCTCCAGATGACCATGTTGACAGTAATTCACACATTTCATATTTTGCACACATATTAACCTCAGTAAGTACTAGCTATGGTGAAAATTTCATGTTGGTGTCTTAAGCCTTTCCTACTAAATCAATTGCTAATTAAAACCATATTTCGTTAAGTTTTTTTTAAAAATATTTTTTGTACATTAAAGTGTATTGTGGTAAATCATCAAAGCAATGAACTGTCAATTAAATTTTATGAAAAAATAGTTAGTTTAAGTTACAAAACCAAATTATAGACTGTTTTTATCTACAATACAAATATAAAATTAATATTATTTTCACTTTTGATTTAATTTCTTTATTAAAGTCAAGCAACTACAGTTGCATGACTCGTATATTCTCATATGTGTAGTTCAACATAAATTAGATATTACAGAATTATAAATAACATATTTTTTTAACTTTTTCGCACTTACATGTAGTCATGGTTGCTTGTTAGTTATTTTTTTAAATGAATTGGTGTAGATACGAAGCTATGGGTTTTGATTCGTCTGAACAAGTGAGAAAAGAATTCAAAGAAAGTGAGACTTTATTTTTGTATTTTAGTTTTGACAAAAATTAAAAAAAAAAATTATTACCACATGCTTAAAAAAAAGTTAAAAAAAATATAGCTGAAAGGGAATATCCTTTTATAATTTATAAATTATTATTTTTAATTTATAAATAACCTATAATATTAATATAATAGTTTCTAAATTTTTACATAAAAATCTTTCAAAAACAAATGAAACTTTAACTGTTTTACTTTATAAATTTTGTGGGTTGTATTAATAATTAAATTAACATAAAGTGGTTAAAGGTAAAGTTTCCTCTGAATTAAGAATGTTAGTTAAATATAACAAATAAAGAACTTGTAATTCTAATCAAATAAAGTTATTCAAAGATTTTTTTTTTAAATAACTTCACTTTTAACAAGGCTGCAAACAATCACTATTAGAGTTGGATGTTGCTAGAAGAGAAAAGATAGAGGTTATAAAGCAAGATAACAATTGACAGATAACTTAAAAGATTGCAAGTTACATGAGTCAGTAAGTGATGAGCACGATAAAGAGATGCAACCTCAGCAACCTTAGCTAATTTTGCAATGGATTTGATATATGGTTTCCATGAAAGATCAGAAGTAAGAGTTAATCCTAGAAGATGAAGAGTAGATAACTCATTGAGTACATTACTGTTCATAAATATAGGAAGATCTAGACTGCTGCGATAACAATTCGCTGAAAAAAATTGATTTTTATCTGAAAAAAAGTTCACCAGCCTGAGAGCCCCATGCCGTAGCAGAAGTGAGATCCTTTTCAAGCTGAAATGCCCTCTCCAAGTGAGCATAGTGTGTTGGCTTTTTATCAAGGCAATAATAAATGGTAGTATGGTCAGCAAACAATGCCACTTTAGATGTGAGATTTTCTGGGAGATTGTTAATGTAAATTAAAGACAGTATAGGGCCAAGGATAGAACCTTGAGGAACCCCTGAAGTTACAGGAAATGAAGAAGAGTGCTGTCCATCGAGGACAACTTTAATACTATGATGATAAGGAAGGATTCAATAATCTTTAAGATGTTACCTGATACACCAAAGGAAGATAGCTTATGGAGAAGACCAGCATGCCAAGCTTTATCAAATGCTTTAGAAATGTCGAGAGCAATAGTCTTAACCTCTTCACATCTATTTAATGTACGATAAAACTTATCTGTTATTACCGTTAACAAATCAGCAGTAGAACAAGAAGATCGAAATCCATAATGATGATCAGAAAGTAGATTATTAGATTTAAGATGAGAGATTAAATGTGTATTGATTAAAGACTCAAAAACCTTGCTTCTAATAGGAAGAAGACTAATGGGACAGTAGTTAGACGAGTCAGATTGCTCTCCAGAATTTTTGAAAAAAGGGATAACAGATGCTGCTTTCCATCTCATGTAGATGTTACTTTACACAGTAAACAAGCTCTTTTCTTCAAAATACCTAGAAAAGTTAAATTTCCACATTTCAATTCGAAAGCAATTTGAGAACTAACACAGTAGTTTTAACTTTTTTATATTTAAGTATTTATGTTTATAGTTGAGCCATATATAAATATAAAGTAATTTTTTTTTTTTTTTTTTTTCTTATTTGCATTCACTCCCAACAAGGCTGCAAGCAACCATTATTAAGTTGGGAGTTACTAGGAAAAAAAGAACAGAGTTATAGAACAAGGAAATGGTTGACAGAAGACTTAAAAAGTTAAAGGTTGTATGAGTCAGGAAAACATGAAGATGGGAGAGAAATCCAAAGGATTGAAGTGCTGAGAAAAAAACTAGATAAATAAAAGTTTTTTAGACCATGCAGTAACAGCTACAGTAAACAAATGAGACTTACCTGAATGATGAGTCAAGCGAGAATGAATTTTAGTCAATGGAACTAGAGATGATAACTTCTTTGAGCAGTGACCATGATAGTATTAGTAAAAAAGAAAAAGAGATGCAACTTTACAGTGGTGGGAAAGAGGCTCAAGCTTAGCAGATAGACCAGTTCCAACTACATTTACAATGTGTTTTTGGAACTTGTCTAGAAGAGAAAGAGCATCATTAGAAGAACCAGCCCTAATATGACAACAGTATTCCATACACGGACAAATAAGAGATTTGTAGAGGTAAAGAATGGAATCAGGATTAAGAGAATGGCAAGCACGATAAAGAGAAGCAACCATAGCGGAAGCTAATTTAGCAATCAATTGTGTATATGGTTTCCATGAAAGGTCAGTAGCAAACGATAATCCAAGAAGATGTAAAGAGGAAGACCAAGTAAGAGAATTGCCATTCATTAATATAGAAATGTTGACCATAGTTGTTTGCAGTAAATAACTGGGTTTTGTTAGAGTTAAAATTTACAAGCCACTGAGCCTTAGTCTATTGCAGAATGGAGATCAGATTCAAGATCGGCTCCCTGTTCTAAGTGATGAAAAGAGAAGACTTTTTGTCAAGACAGGAGTATAAAGTTGAATCATCAGCAAAAAGAGCTACTTTAGATGTAAGGTTATCAGGAACATTGTTAATGTAGATTAAAAACAAAACAGGGACCAGGATGGAGCGTTGAGGTACCCCAGAGGTTACTGGAAATAAAGGCATGGTCAGTTTGATCAGAGATAATATATAAAGAGTGCAGTCATGGGAAGGAGAACAATAAAGAATAAAGAGAAAAGTGATAGAGTGAAGAGGTGCTAGGCGAAAGCACATAAAGGAATGGTCAAAGGATTCGAATCTGATTTTGCAACAAATAGGGGAATTAATGTGTACGTATATCCCCAAGCCTAGCATGTGACTATTGGAGTCTTTGCGAATCAAAGGATAGTACCCATCATCACTGACATGTGAAGAAGAAATTGCATAATTTAGATTTATCTCATTTAGAGTAAGCAAGTCTTGTGAATTTTGCAGGAGGTAAACTTTAACTGATGGAAGGTTGCTTCCAGACCACAAATATTTGTAAAAGATATATTGAAACAGTTAGGTGGTGGAGATGGTTTTTTATGTTTAAAATTTTGGGTTACTTTTGGCATGATTTAGGTTTAATGAAAACTTGACTAATTCATAGATAGAGCACAGCCTCCTAAGCAATGAGCTATGCAGTTGTCTCAGTCCTGTTAATTAACTCTAAGTCATGACATAGGGCTCTTTATGTGGCCTCGACAATGCACACCAAAGGCATTAACAGAGACACCATCCATGGGCAACATGGCACTGTTAGTACTCTAATATTTTGCAGCTGTTGATGGAATCAGCCTCTCTGAGAGCTACCACAGAGTTCAGGAAATCTTACTGTTAGCCGGTCTCAGAACCATTAAACTTAGTTTTAGAGTTGTACCTTCATTAGGAGATAACAGGAAGAATTGTATAGCCATTATTATGGAGGCATAAGCAAAAGTCTATGAGTAGAGTCAAGAAAATCCAGCATTCATCATCTTATGCAGGTAACAATGTAACACAGTTACATCTACACCAGCCTAATAGATGAAGAAGGGGTTTGAGGCTGATAAGCAGTATTTTTCTGCTTTTCTGATGAGTATTTTTATCAAGACACCATCTCTAGCCTTTACTCAACCAAGAGCCTCAAGGCAGGGGAAATTTAGCTGGATGCAGTTAACATTTGCCCAAGATGAGTATTTTTATCAAGACACCATCTTTTTTTTTTTTTTTTTATTTGCATTCACTCCCAACAAGGCTGCAAGCAACCACTATTAAGTTGGGAGTTACTAGGAAAAGGAAAGAAAGAACAGTTATAGAGCAAGGAAACGGTTGACAGAAGACTTGAAAAGTTGAAGGTTGTATGAGTCAGGAAAACATGAAGATGGGAGAGAGTTCCAAAGGATTGAAGTGCGGGGAAAAAAACTAGATGAATAAAAGTTTTTAGAGCATGCAGGGACAGATACAGTAAACGAATGAGACTTAGCTGAATGACGAGTAAAACGAGAATGAATTTTAGTTGATGGAACTAGAGATGATAACTCCTTTGAGCAGTGACCATGATAGTATTTGTAGAAAAGAGAAAGAGATGCATCTTTACGACGATGGGAAAGAGGCTCAAGCTTAGCAGATAGTTCAGGTCCAACAACGTTTACAATGTGTTTTTGGACCTTGTCTAGAAGAGAAAGAGCATCATTAGAAGAGCCAGCCCAAATATGACAACAGTATTCCATACAGGGACGAATAAGAGATTTGTAGAGAATCTCTAGCGTTTACTCAACCGAGAACCCCAAGGCAGGGGTTTTTTTTAATCGGAGTTTATTTCTCCTAGCCTTTGCCGAAGAAAAGTACATTCTACAAAGCAGCAAGTCTCAAGGCACGTGGTACTGGGTTATGTGATACCAGTAGCAAGTTGATCAAGATGATCCTGAATCTGACCTGGTAAAACATTAACTATGTTTTATAATAATTTTGCCTCGTCTGAGTTAAGTTCCAATACTATACGGAGTATAATACTATTTTGATGGTTTTCTAAATTCTGTCATTGTTGCGCACTCTGTTTAACAGGGGCATGGTAAAATTGTTGTAAAACTCTAAATTTCTTTGTTATCTTTATAATGAGTAAGTTTAACAAATTTAATTTTTTAAAAAAATAAATAATGGTTTTAAGAAAGTTAAGGTCGCCGTGTTGCAAGTTTAAAACATCAGTTTGCTTTTTTAAAAAAATTTTTGTTATTTAAAATGCAATACAAAACAATTTTATATTACATTCCCCTTTTCTCTAAGCAAACTAAATTTATTTGTAGAAAACTTGAAAAGTAAATTGTAAACCTTTGAGAAACTTTACTTTTTCCATATCTTAAAATTTATGAGTTAGATATTTGCATAGACTTTTGTTTAAAATTTCTTATAAGTGTTTTCTCGCTATTATTTTAGATTCCATGGCTGCCACTGGTTTTGTGTAAACAGCGGCAGCCATTGAAAAAAGTCTTTCAAAAATCTGCTAACATTTGCTTTTAATGGACAAAATGACACCTTTGTGTGTCATTTTGATTTTTGAAATATTTTAAGTTTGACCCCG